CACCACCCCGTCCGTCTGGGCGGGGTTTGTCAGTGTAGGTGTAGTCAGTGGGTGTGGTCTGGTTTAAGGAGAAGTAATCCAGGGGTTTGTGCCAGGTTTCGGTGAGGCAGAGGAAGTCCAGTTTATTGTCAGTGATGAATTCATGTAGGATGGCACTTTTGTTGGTCAGTGAGCGGGTGTTGAGTAGAGCCAGTTTCAGGTGTTGTTGGGTTTAAGTAGAACAGGGGGTAGCAGGAAAGCAGAAGATGGGGAAAAAGTTTTTGTAATACACAGTCTTAGTGCAGTAAGGGCGGGGTGGTCTGTGCTTTATGATGGACTGTATGGGGAATGTCTCAGGTGGGAGGGTTAATGATAGATATGGTTGGACGGGGGCGCTGGTGAGCGGGGCTGTGCTCTGTGCTGCTGTTTGCAGAGGAAGAGTGTCAGTGGAGGGGACGTGTGATGTAAATAGTCATGCACGTGGCGCGTGATGTACAGCATGCTGGATATTGGCTGCCAGCGTGTGGCTTCCCAGGGTGGTAGGGTGTTTGAAGAAAGAGGAACGGTTCCAGAAAAGATTAAAATTGTCCACGAAGTTGAAGCCTCAAGCGTAGCAGGCAGGCATGAGCCAAGTATTCAGCCGGAGCAGTATGGAAAAGCGCGCGTCCCCGCGACCAAGTGTGGGAATGGGACCGGAGATAAAAACAGACTTTCCACAAGTGCGTAGGAGGTCCAGGAAGGAGGTGAAAGCACTTTTGGTCAGCTCAGAGGCACCCCGAGCCAGGTCGTTGGTCCCTACATGCACCACGATGCGGGTAATGGAGGATGGGAGTGACTGCAGCAGCCCAGGGAGTTTTCCCAGGATTACTGGGACTGTGGCTCCGGGGAAACAACAGGTGGTGGCATTGAAGAAGCGGATATTCCTTGTGATGGAGTCTCCGACGATCAGGGTGGTTGGAGGGAAGAGCGGGAGAGGAAGGGTTTTTGCCGGGTTGGATGGTGTCGAACCAGTGTCCGGGCTGTGCGCTGGCCGCGGGATCGGTCACCATGCACGGCCGGACAGATGTAGTATTGATTCGGCCTCAGGAGGAGGAGAGTCTGCCGGCGGTGTGGGGTGGAGGAGGCCTCTGGAGCGTCTAAGGATGGCTTCCTTCAGGAATTCGGAGCGGGAAGCCGCAGGGACGCCATCAGCCGCAGGTGTAGGACCAGCTACCCCAGACGTGGAGCCACCTGAGCCTGAGGGCGAAGCACCAATAGCCACAGGCAGAGAGGGGCCAGCGGCCTTTCCAGAGCCAGGCGTTGCACCACCAGCAGCCGTGTGCAGAGAGCTAGCGGCGGGGCTAGCACGTTGGCTAGCTTTAGCTATGCTAACCGGGCGGAGATCTGGGTTTTCTGCTAGCGCCTCGAAGTGGTTGGAGAGGCTCAGGCGAGGAGGAGAGGCAGTCGCATCGTGGAGTCTCTTTCTGTCGCGGATTCCAACTTCAGCCCAGGATGTCTGGAGGCTGGGTGTGGAGGAGGAGGAAGGCCGCGGACATGTGGAAGTATCCCATGGGACGGTGTCCTGGAGGGCCGCTTTGAGGGAGACAATGTGCAAGGACTGTTCGTGAGCCAGGTCCAAGCAGGAGGTCAGCATGGCCTGTTTACCTTGCAGTTCCTGAGAGAGTCGGCGGATGTCTTCCTTAAGGTCTGTAATCTGTTTGTTTGCTTTTGTGAGCATTGTGTTGTCACAGGCCATGGATGTAGCACGTTGGCTAGCTTGAGCTATGCTAACGGCTAGGTGCAAGGGTAGGAGGTGCCGGTAGTCGGTGGGTCGATGCAAAACTAAGACAACAGTCAGTGGAGCCAGCAGGGTTGTGATGAGGTGGTAAGGGTGTATAGGTACCACTGTGGGGAGAAATAGCTTCTTGGATCAGCAACGTATCAGGCGTGGAGAGCAAGCTGCTAGTGCTGCTAGTGCTGCTAGAGCTGCTAGTGCTGCTGTGCTGCGTGTGCTGCTGTGCTGCATCAGATAATGATATCTGTACTCACCTTAGCCATCTTCAGAGGACAGAGGGTGTCTTCCAACAGCATGAGGCAATGATGTCCTGCAGAGGCAAGACAGGCAGCCGAGATCAAAGGGCAAGCATTAGCAGCCGTAGCCAGCCAGCTGCTGCAGCTACATCCCTCCTCACTCAGCCTGCTGCTCCCACACCCTCACCAGCTCCTCCTCAATCGGCTCCTGTTCCCTTGTTGCCCACAGTCGTCCCTGAGCCCAAGTGGAAACTCCGGAGTGCTATGATGGAGATCCAGAAACCTGTGGCTCCTTTTTGATGAACTGTTCCCTGATGTTCTCCCTTTAGCCTCTTACATTCGCCTCAGAGCAGGCAAAGGTGGCCTTCACAATCAATCACCTGACGGGCCGGGCTCGACTGTGAGGATCCGCTGAGTGGGAAAGACAGTCTCCAGCCTGCGCCTCCTTTCAGTCATTTGCCGAGGAGCTATACAAGGTTTTTGGCTTGGGGGTATCCAGCTCAGAGGCTGCACAAGGGCTAATGGGCATACAGCAAGGGGACAGGACGGTGGCTGACTACTCCATCGACTTCTGCACCAAAGCCAGTCAGATCAGCAGGAACTCTGCTGTCCTGTATGACGCCTTCCTCCACGGCCTGGCTGACTACATCAAGGATGAGCTGGTCACCAACGATGTTCCCTCCATTGTGGATGAGATCACTGAGCTAGCAAACTGGACTGACCTCTGCATCCAGGCCTGTAGATGAGAGAGGTGTCAGGGGGCTCCACCCTGCCAGTTGTCAGTCTGGTCCAGAGGGGCTCCTCCAGCAAATGGGGGAGTCTGAACCGATGCAGCTGGGCTGCACTTCCCTAACCCCTGAGGAACGGGAACGTCGACTCCACTCCAAGCTGTGTATGTACTGTGGGAAGGCAGACTGTATCAACCTGCCCAGCAAAAGCCAAAGCTCACCAGTAATCGTGGGGAAACGGGTGAGCTTGACAAAGACGCTGCCTCCCCACAACAAAAGACCGCTGTTTCTAGCCCGGCTTCTCCTTGCTGACAGTCCTCATAACCTGGCAACCCTGGTAGACTCTGGTGCCGACGCCTGCATAGTTGGCTCAGATGGGTTTCTCTGCCTCATCTGGTTCCAGCTCAGGCCCTAGATGGCCACAATTTGGGCACAGTCACACATCAGACCACCTACATTCCCATGCTCTTGTCCGGCAACCACCACAAGACCATCCAGTTTTACATCCTTGGCGCTTCTTGTATGCTGATCATCCTGGGTTACCCATGGCTCCTTCGGCATAATCCCCACATTGAACAGAAAGAAAGGCACTGGAGACTTACATAAACTAATCACTGGCTGCAGGCAACATACGTCCCTCTTAGTCTCCAGCTGGGGCGGGTTTTTTCTTCGTAGAGAAGAAGGACAAGACTTTGAGACCCTGCATAGACTTTCGAGGCCTGAATGAATCACTGTCAAGATGGATGGAGGGAGGAGTTTTAGGAAAAGTTTCACTGCAAATGCATATAAGTAAATGTTTGTTCATTTATGTGTTTCTTGTGTTTTAATGCTAAATCTACCTAAATGTTTCTTCCACAAGCCGCACAGAAACAATATGCTTCATATGAGCATGCTCATCAAGCTCTAAGGCTGACTTAACTTAAACTTCTAGTCCATTTGCAGCAACAATAATAGTGTCTATTGTAGACAATTAAGAGGTAATAAATCGACAGATCATTCAATTTGCTAAGTGTATTTTCTTTTGATGGCATATTAATTCTTAACAGAGTTTAATCAATTCTTTGTTTTTCCCTCGTGTTTGTATACTTTTTTAATCAATAACCAGCAGAATTGAACATTATCAGGCTGCAAAAAAGGGATCCATGTAGACACAGTAAAACAGACAGAAAAAAATATGAAAAACTAAAATACAGGGACAACCTTTATTAAACAATGCAATAATTTACAGACATTTACAGCATTTGTTTTTACATTAAAAAAAAAAAGTGTCAGCTCCGGCCAGTCCCAATGGTTAACAATGGCTAAAAACTGTACATACACAAACACAAACACAAACACACACACACACACACACACACACACACACACATTCAAACAAACACACACACACACACACATTCAAACAAACACACACACACACACACACACACACACATCATATGAACAAGTAAACTTTAGCCAGTCAGTAGGTAGGTAAAGATGGTGGATTTTCTTTCCTGTCTCCTTCTTTACTTCATTTTTACACCCTCTGCTCTTATTACTTTCTCACAAATTATTGTTCGGGACATCAGACAATGAGGAGACTGTCACAAGCAATGTACTAATGCGTACAAAAAGCTCTATCACTCTATCACCAGCAAAAATGAAGCAGTAACCAACATGCATCATTCAGGAACAATACAAGTGAATAAGTAAACTCCACCCCACAAGCAAACCTAACCTAGCCTTAATGATGCACAGCAATATCTGTGCTAAGATTAGACCATTTCCCAATTTATCCATTTATCATCCATGGATGAAGACTGAGAGATGGTGTCGTCACCTGCTGATTAAATGACAATTCCTCTCTGACAAAATATTTTTAATAACTGCAGTGATTTAATATTCTTTGCAAATGTTTGTCGTCGATGAATCAGAGGACCTCTAGAAGAATAAAAGTGATGCCTCATTTCATATTATTTACAACTAGTTTACACCTTTCTGTCATTTTAGAAAGTATTGTTACTGTAGAACTACTATTATATTTTTATACAGCATATGTACTGTAAAGCTGGGGTAGGCAGAAATCTGGAAAAGGCAAAAAAAAAGAAAAAAAGAAAAAGGGCAGAATTTGAAAATACATCCTCCACGGGTGCCACAGCAGGCTGGTAGCCAGCAGCAGCACCTTTGTCACAGCAGCAACAGAAAGTTTGCTGATCCAGCTCTGGCTCCTGTTAGCAGAAGGCTAAACTTTTAGTAACATTTCATCTCCATCTCTGAAATGCTGTGCTGATACTGACACTTGTTTTACTGTGTTTATTGTCAGATTCTCTTTCAGACTCTCTTTTTGATAAGTCTGTCGTCCCTCTTTGGGTTATTTTTTTTGTTGCCAAGCTGGAGATAACAACTTTCTCTGCAGGATTCTCCACCACTGAGTCAGGCTTTCACCGAACGGACATACTCGCACATCTGCATTAGTAGAACAGCCAACAGGAACAATCTCTGTCTGAAGTGACCCGTGATTGGCCAAAGTCTCTTGTTACGGACCAAATTTTCCAAAACATGAAGACAGCCAAGAGGAGGTGCAGAAGTCTTGTTTTCTCTCAGACCGCTCGAATTTCAATTTGCTTAATGTTTATTACGGGGGGGGGTTTGCCCAGTGATACCCAAATTAAACTGCCTACCCCAGCTTTATTCCTGGTTTGAAATCAGCTGCTGCTGACAAAGATGTCTCCATCTGTGGGTGTCGGTAAACAGAGCATAATATAATGCACACACTGATATGTAAACACATAACTTGAGCTCAATGAAGTCATATTAAAACGGTGAATTAGTCAACACCAAATGAAGGCTTTATATTTACTACAGTGCTTCACCTAGCAATTTAGAAGCTGTTTTTTAAGAGATTTTTAATGAATGGCAGAAAATAGTGGGATGAAAATGAGCCCTTGTATCTCCAGTTACACTGAGAACAGACACCAACAGGAATAATGTAAAAGAGAGAGTCAACTTTGAGTTTTGACACAAATTTACAGTAAAAACACTGACCCGCTAAAATGATTTTAGCCCTGTGTTTAAGTGTGTATAGTTTTAGTCTCCCAACATTGTTTAAAAGGTAGCCTATGTAAAGGGTTTTTCATTCCATAAAACAGAAAGAATCACAGCAATACTGCATGTCCTTTTATACCCTGATCAAGGTGACGTTTAAACAGAATCAGCATCTGTAAAAAGTAATGTAAATTCAGTGGTATTCTCACAAAATATCTGGTATGATTTGAGGTTTTGAAGGCCAATATAATTTATATCATAATAAATCCCCTTTGTCCCCTTTGGTGTTCACTATGGATTTGTTTCGTCAAAAATAACAATGTGATTTATAAACCTCAACACACTATCTCTGACCCAGCTCTGTCTCTAGAACAAATATGCATCACAAATTAGCCACAAAACGTAACTTTTTATGTGATTTTTCTCTCCCTCGCCTATCTTTGTCAGTTTTTTTTCACTGTAAACTATATTTTAAAGCAAACATGCCGATTAAATAATCTTTAAAAGTCAAGAAGTCTAAAGCTGCAGTAAAAACATTCAAAATTGTCAGGGTACACACGGACTAATGAAGCCCATATATTTTAGTGTTTGTGACAGTGACACAAGGCTCGTATGGTGGTATTCCTGAGAGCATTTGAGGGGTACAATATGTCTGAGTGTGTGTGCGTGTGTGTGTGTCTGTGTATGTGTCTGTGTGTCTGTGTGTGTTCACATTGTGCAACACTTGTTCTTTTGTGCATGAGAGTCTTTGAAGCGGAGTCTCTGCTTGGATCTGTATTTCTCCAGGTAGGTTAGTTGTTTACTGTTGATGGCTCCACGACGCTTCCTGAAACACACAAAGACAAGCAGCGTTTGATGGAAGTGTGTGATGTAACCCTTCTTAATTACCCTCATTGCACAAACCAAATCTGGAGCAGTGCTTTATAATTGGGTCCTCAGCATGCCACATTGTCCTCCTTGGTACCACCACCAGATGGCACCAAAGAGAGAGAATTTCCATTTCTACACATCAGTGTTAAAATATTGCATAAACTGTATTTGTGGTGTAAAGATGTGTTCCTAAATAGTGTTAAGTATTTACATATTAGATGAAGCTGTCTTGTGACTACTACAGCAATGCTCTTTCACCATACTTGCTACTTCTGCATGATGAGGACGTAGCATATAAATGAACTTACTGTCTGATGAGTTGGATAGCATCTTCATACTTCATCCCACTCTCTATCAGAGCTAGAGCAACCAGCACAGGAGCCCTGTATGCATGCACAAACACACACACACAGTCATGTCTGCGTCTGTTGAGTCTGCTGTTGTCTTTGTAAAAATAACCAATTTATCTTCATCTTGAAAAAGTTTTAAAAATACTGTTTGGAAATGGAACGATCAGATGACAGCTACTGCTTTTGTCTCAGGTTTCGTCACTTTTCTAACTAGAATCTGTTCCTGTGTGTGTGTGTGTGTGTGTGTGTGTACAACAAAACTTATCAGATCTTATCATCCAATTATGCTGTGTACAATATCATCATATGTGTGGGACAGTAGGCTACTGACTGTGGGACTCCAACCAACCAATCGCACCTCGTCTTATATTCAACACATAATAATAATAATACAAACTGTATTAGATGTATCCATTTTGTTTGTTTGTTTGTTTGTTTGTTTATTAGATGTGTCTTTCACCTTCCCAGTCCCGCCACACAGTGAACAGCCACGCAGCATCCTGGATCCTCCTGAAACTTCTTCTTCAGCAGACTCAACCAATCATCAACCAGCTTACTGGGGGGCGGGGCTCCGTCATCAAACGGCCAATCCTGGAATAAAAGCATAACAGTTACAGTATTCCTGGCACTCTGTATTTTGTCATAGAATGACTACATCCGAGTGTGAATGCTGCGTGTGTGTTTAGTGTGTGATAAGTATGAGCTCACCACCACAGTGATGCCGTCTTTCTCCAATGGTGTTTTATCATAGGTGACATCGCAGACTCGAACAACTGTGGTGGCACCGTAGCGCTTCAGGTCCTGACAGGGACGACACAGGAGATGATTTTCACAATACACAATAGATCAATTCAATTCAGTTAAAATGTCTCTTAGTCATTTCAGTAGCATGTCAGCAAGGGAAACAACACGTACAGTTTATACACACGAAAACACACATTTCTTACCTCTATGAAGGAGCTGAGTGTGCTGTCTGTGGGGTTGTGTGTGATGAGGAATCTCATGTTCTTGTGGCACAGTTCCACTGGAGCTGGACGATTCATGGTGCCCAGTGTGGCCTTTGACATCCAAGGATGACCTCTGACCTTTTACTGTCAAGGAGAAATGTACTGTATATGAATAACATGCTGTCAAATATTTGGCATTTTTAAGGTCCTTGGACATATAAAAAAATACAAAACGTCCTCATGAGGTCTTAAACAGCTTTAACGAGTTACTAAAAGTTACTTTAAAGGGACTCTAAAATCAAAAATACATTTTTTTCTCTCAACTATAGTGTTATTTATTAATCTAGACTGTTTTGGTGTAAGTTGCTGAGTGTTGGCGATATCAGCTGTAGAGATGTCTGCCTTCTCTCCAATATAATGGAGCTAGGTGGCACTTGGTTTGTGGTGCTCCAAGTGCTACAAAATACATTTAATATGTATATTTTATTTTGGCGTGAACTTGGGTTTTGCTGACCACAGAACACTCAGTTTTCCAGATTTGTCTCAACCATTTCCAATGGCTGATTTCTATTTAGCTGCTTCAGTTTCAGGGTCCTATTGTTGTTTGTGCTGGCTCACTGTCACACTGTCATGCTCACTGGGACCCTTGAATATAACAGAGCCATCACTGATGTAACACATGTGCTTTTCCTACTATGACGATTCATAATGTCTGCTATGAAAAAGGTCTTTTCAACTAAACCTGCCCACACACTGCAAGCTTCCTGACCACATTTCTGCAAGTGTTTTCAAATGCAACCAAACCTGTTACATTCTTAAGACATCTCCAGACTCACAACAAGGTCACATATTCACAGTCCTTTGATGTAAATCTCATTGGTGGTTGTTTTATATAAGTCTCAGCGGTGTTCAAAGAGGAATCTAATACTGTAGTGAGAGGCCCTACACCCCCACAGGCTCTTAAACCTCATCTCCAAACTGTGCAGGTAGGCGCAGACTGCTGTTGATTGACATCTCCCTCAGGCTCTGTTAAGGTGGGACAACTCACACCTCTATCTATTGGTACACTGAGTTTTGACCTAACATAATTCCTATCGTAGCTCTGCTCAACTTTATCTGCGGGTTTGAGAAGAGACATCAAATTAAAAAGTCTCACATCATCATATCTTTCACTGATCTTGAATTTTATGAATGCAGATACGGATACATTTTATAATCAAATACAAAAACAAAGATGACAAAGTTGTAGCTGTCAATGGAGCATGTGCTTTATAGAGTGTCTCTTGTGGACTGGCATTGCTCTTTCTCACATTTCAAATAAGATAACAGGGATGTGAGTGTATTTTAGGATGGAATTTTAATTTCAATAATTCAGGGGTGCGTAACATACCCAAACACATACACAGACACTATTCTTGTTGGGGTACTGATAAGAACTATTGGGTTGATATCAGAGTCCTCACATGCTGGTCAAACAGAAGCAAATATGAAGCCAGTGACGACTTTGGGCTTAACTGTCTGACTAAAGGAGCTTGTCGTAGCCAATGCTGCATATTCATATTACAGAGTACCATGTTATTTTGGTTTACACTTCCCAAGAACACAGGAGAGCCATACCTGGACTCAAATAAGGTAATTTCACCTGTATTTTCATCGTGCAACAACTTCTAAAAAAAAATGTGAAATAGCACTGAAAATGTACAAGGTAATGTATTTCTATGCAAGGTCTGGGATGTAATACATTATTGTGGATAAATGCTAAAGCTAAAAGCTTTCAGAACACACTGACCAAAGTAAACAAATGACCACAGCATCCTGTAATCAGGCCAGAACAAGTCAGGAGGTAAAGGTGTTGGTACATCACTATATTTAGTCAAGCTCTGGTTACCAGCCACGCCTCACCTTTGGCTCAAGCTGAAGCAGGTAGCTGTTTAAATCAGGTCTCCAGGACTTCCTGTCTCTTGTCAACTTCCTGTTGGGGGACTTTGTTTTTTATCGCCTTGAAAGTATTTTCCCCAATTCTGAGATCCTGTTGTCTTACTCCATCACTTGACTGTATCCTACAGTTCAGGAAGTCACAGTGTGCAGCTCTCTCTCTCTCTCTGTCTGTCTCTCTGCTTTTATCTCTCTTATTGTCACTGCTTCAGTCCTTCTCTCTCTGTGTCTCTCAATAGTGCTCTCGTTCCTTCTCTCTCCAGTTAGCTTCCAGTGTCGAGGCCCCACGAGTTACCCCATCAGCTGGCTGGTTCAGAGGGCAAAGGCCAACGGTCTTTCAGGTTTCACAGCCGCAGGACTGCATTGTGCAGCTTCATCCCAGACAGGCTCTAAATGTGTTGGGCGTGGCAGTAGTCACCACTCCGCCGCACAAACTCCATCAACCAGCAGTTCTACGGTACAAAACATAACAAAATGATTAGCTCTTTCCATGATAAACTTTCGGAAAACAGTAATAAAAATGATTAAATGGTCTCATAAATAATACACAATGCAGCATTTGTTCCAGTGTTCCAAGCATGGTGTCTGCAAAATCTGCCCATAAAATATATGATTAAATATACTAATGACAGCCTTCATCAGTAATGTGAAGGGCAGCTTATGTCCATATCCATGAACACAGAAACACGTGTTTGCATACAGATCTTAAATGATTTACCATTGAACGCACTAAACAAAAGTATGATTATTAGTTTTAAATGTCAAAACTGATTAAGATTTCTGCATGCAAAAACGTCACAACTGCAGCCTATCACTAATGAACCCAAGAAGACTTTCAAAAAATTGATTGGTCCATGTAATGATTTAAAATGAATATTTAAATTAACAAGCCAGACACTGCCAAATACAAAGACCATTAGCTCATAGTGTTTGAAAAATCAGTTGTGTGCACACACACGTACATACACAACGAGTAAACTATCACCTTATGTAGTTACTGAACAATGTACAAAAGTGCTCCTACTTGCATGGAAAGGACAAGAAAGCTGGGGGAACAGATGACAGATGCAGCATGGGGTAGAAAATCTAATACATGATGTGGCTCACAAAATATGGAAAATGTTATTAGATCAGCCTGCACAATATCAGCCAAATTAAATTTGGTCTGAAGAGAAGAAAAAAAAGACTGGGAGGACTCTAAGTGTAGAAGAGTAGTGAATGTGAGGGCATTTCCTCCGCCCTGGGGACAAAATATCAAATGTTGAGTACAAACTGTAAAACAGAATAAAAAGGAGGGTTAGCTCACTTGCTACTTTAGCTAGAGCAGGCCTTCATAGACTTAGGCTGGAATGACTTTGATGATGAATTTGCCAGTTTAATTGACACATATTGACTTTGGATTGCAAAGTGCTTGTTGATAAGTGTCATCCAGCTCTTTTTTGAGTTCCTTCATTGCATCTTTAATGTATGCCAGATCACTAATTTTTGAAAAATGCAACAGCAGCCACTGACTTTGGCATATTTTGTTATGCAAACAACTGTTGTTAAAATGATGGTCTATAATTTATGTGTAACAGCTCATTTCCATTGGGCTGAAGTCCAGTTATACAATATGCTTTACTACTGGTTTAGTATATCTGTAGACATTTTACGTTTGCCTCATTCTGTCCAGGTGAATATTAAGTACTTTAGTGGAAACATAAAGGATGCACAATGCTTGGAAATTCAAATGCAGTTTCTTCAAAAGACAACAAGTATAATACTCTACTTAAAAGGCCACCAACAATTACAGAAAACTGTTTGATAACCCTAGATTGTGACTAAACATAATGTAGTTAAGAGATAGGTGTTGTACCCAAGGCAGGAAATAAACCACAAATGCTGATAATCTATTATTCTATGGACAACAGGAAGAGGTAGTGAGGGAAATATAATGGGAAGTGGACAAAGGTGTAAGCTTCCTCTCACTTAAGTGCCCAAACATTCAGACAAACAACAAGGGAAAGTCCAGAGGTACTCTGGGTAATCCGTCCTCACCTCCTCATCTCAGCTCTGACAACACACACACACACACACACACACTTCATAATCACATGCCGACTTACTCTCCCAGAAGAGTGCGGTCTATTCCAGGTTGTTGACCATCTATTATTAGGAATTTATCCTGTGTTACCACTAATCAGGACAGAGGTCAATTGTTTTCCATCCAGTCAATTCGAAGTGAAGAAAGGATATTTATTCTACTTAAAGGGACAGTTCACCCCAAAATTAAAAGTATATATATTTCCTCTTACCTGTAGTGCTGTTTTTATCAGTCTAAATTGTTTTGGTGTGAGTTGCCAAGTGCTGTAGATATCAGCTGTAGAGATGTCTGCTTTCTCTCAAACATGATGGAACTAGATGGCACTGGGCTTGTGGTGCTCAAGGCACCACAAAAAAAAAACACATTTAAAAAAACTCAACAGCAATGTCTCTTTCCAGAAATCATGACCCAGTTACTTAAGATAATCCACAGACCTTGTGAGCAGTTTAATTTAGGAATTATTTTCCCTCTACTGAACTTCACTCACCAACCGTATCACCACACAGATGGAAGCATGTGTCTATTGCTAGCTCAACAAGCACCACTGAGATAGTTAGCATTACAGAGAGCTGGATACAGCGCTGGAGGTGGGGCCCTGTTCATTTCTGTGAAAGTTGCTCAAAGAATTAGACTTCCAAGGTATAAAATGACCTGGATCTTTCACATTCAAGGCCCCAGGTTAAGTGCACCACTAATTTGAATGGGGATAAAACAATTTACTGCACAACTCTACCAGACTTTCAAAGTGTTATCAGACCAAATAAATCAAATTCTGGTCCATCAGCGCTGTTTCTGAGGGCTTGGCTCAGCCGAGCTGTCAAAAGCACAAGACTCTTGTCTGTGAGTAGATGCCAATATCTCCAACACTCAGCAACTCACACCAAAACAATCTAAATTGATAAATAGCACTGCAGGTATGAGAAAAAAATATGTATTTTGTTTGGGGGTGAACTGTCCCTTTAAATGGCTTTCATGTATTTTACAGCCTCATGTAACACAGGCACAACACACAGGATAAAACAAATTCATATCACACAAAGCAACACAACAGAAGCTACTGTCACAGACAAAACAGGGCAGTAACCTCACTAAAATCAAGTGACAGATGAGGTGTATAAACACTCTAAAGCATCTAACATTTATTTCTTCTGTTTAAATACTAAATCTGCAGTCATTTTAGGCATTTAGCTGACATTTGAAGCCAAGTGACTTAACAGAAAAACATCATATGAAAGCATAAAGGAGCATGAGGGAAATGGCCAGACGGTAGCAGTAATTCCAATTAAAACTGCAAGGCTGGTCTTCCCTGTTACCTTAGAGCCCAGTTTGGTTTGTAAAAACAGGTGCAGGTCCCCAGTTGGTCATCTGGCTGCCTGACTGTTTCCCTGTCACAGGCCAAAGAAGTTAAATATGGATCTCAATATTATTTCAGAGCCGCGTCAGGCTCCCAAACTTTTCTACAGTACTTGCAGTGTGCAATGCAACAGTAAGCTTGTAGGTTAGTAGTAAAGACAGTAACAAGGCAGGTTAGTAGTAGCCTCAATTAGGATCAGTGCTGTTAAAGCACGTTCACGTCTGCTGCCCTCATAACTACAGAGGAGTTTTTTCTGCATCACGTCACTCTGAAAAACAAGATGTGCTAAATGCCTAAATTTGAGTTGTTTAGACTGTACAGCCATCCCTCTTACCTCAGTGGACAGCTTGGCTGCTGAACAGGAAAATCCACAAACCAGTTAGTCCTGCAAAAGCAGCAGCAGCAGCAGCAGCAGCCCCACAACAGTGAGTGCTGACATACAACCAGCTGACTGCCTGTTATAGTAAGCCCCTGTAGACACTGAATACCTGCAGCTGTATTTATAGCTGTATCTATACCAGCAGCTGATTCTATGACACAACACATTTTTTTGTGGAAACGATAGTCTGTGATGCATCACAGCCTGTTCCAGTGAAGAACTGTGATAAGTTTGATTACTATCTGGGGTCCCACTACTGTGGAAATCATTGTATCTACATTTGTTATCTGTCACTTACTGTTCTCAAAAGTTACACTTACTATGATATTATAAAAACAGAAACAACCCAAACACAATATCTAGAAAGTGATTGTCCTTACCTGCTATTCAATGACATCCCCAACCACAGACTTCAGTTCTTCTGCCTCTTCTCCACAGTAAACTCCACCTGCTTCTTGTCTGTTTCTGCCTCTATACGCTGAAATGTCTGGTGGTCAACCAGCAGAAAAAAATCTTCCTGCAACAACCTGTTGCTCTGCCCCACTGTAACACTGCACTACCCACCTCTCCCTGTACCCCCTGGCCTCTCAGCAGCCGCTGCGATGTTTGTACTGTACGTGCAGTGTAGCTCTACCTTGCTGTAGCAGTGCAACTGAGGATCTGCTGTGAGCTGGTCTAATCAGGCTGAGCAGCCATCTGACCCTGACAGCCCTGTCACTACCAGAACACTCTACAGTTAATGCTCTTAGAGGGAGAGGAGAAGAGCCTCACTCCCTCCTCCTCCTCTTCATCCACTCGACTCGACTCCTTTTTCCCTCCCCTCTTGCTGGGTAAAGAAGAGGTGCTGTTCCCCCTCCTCCTCTCCTCTCCTCTCCTCTCCTCTCCTCTCCTCTCCATTCCTATAGGCTGATGATTGCAAGGTCCAGTCAAGGAAGTCTTTGGTCTAACATACAGCGTGGTGTGAGCAACAAAATAAATACACATCAGTGTTTTCTGTTCATGTTTCTCGTAAATGTAGCAAGAAGAATCTGTGAAACTGTCAGTCCAGTGAGGTTTTTTCTGCCATGACACGTCTGTCTGGTCCTTCTCTTATTTTCCTTTCCTCCCTCTCTCCCCCCTTCCCCTGCCTGAACCAACTAAAAATAGACGGTCCTTTGAGCCACCAGACAGATTGGACAAGTCAAACCTTAGAGTCTCAGTTCATGGAAATAACTTTCTCCTTAACTGACAATAGTCTCAATGTGTTTGTCAAGAAATCGCACAAACAGGGTGAAACCTGCAGGAAACACTTTTTAAACTGATGTCCTTTGAGGCAAATTTCAGAGAAACCCATGCAGCTTTGTGTTTTTTAAGTTTTAGGCTTCATTTTATCCAATTTGTTTACAAGCTTATGGTATGGATATGTGAGTCCAGGGAGTCACAAGGCAGTCATATGCAGAGACTTCTCAAAGCAGGACAAGCTGGAGCCTCACCTCACTATCAATCACTTTGAGTAGAGGTTGACACAGCTGTTAACCCACGCACGGACCTTTAAAAAACATCTCTTACTAGCTAAAATTAGCCGAAGCACAACTTGAATGCTTTCTAGTTTATCACAGTCAAATGCTAATGTTTACAATCATCACTGTTGCTTATAGACAGGACGTTTCTGTGTGTATATGTGCTCTCAAAACGGGAGTAACGCTTGTTGCATGCATTGTGGTGACAAGTTTCCAGCTTCTCTTTTATAGCCCAGTGTTATCCTACCTTTGATTTTCCTTATGGTGACCCTACACCTTTTTTGTAAATATAGCCATACGTAGTGATTAGCGGCAAGAAAGAGACCTTCAGAGAGACCAGAGAGAAGAAGCACATGATGGAAAAAGAGAGGACATCATTTTGTCTTGAAGTACTTTAATGAGGACCAAGAACAACATCTAAACATAGACGTGAGTATTGCTCATCCACATACTGTACAGTACAGAAAGTTTACACCTTTTCAAGCGCAGGTGTTATCAGTATGTGTTGAGAGAGATGGGAACATGGGGGGACAGATGGGCATGGCATACAAGCAAAGGTTTGAGTGGGAAGTTCGCACCATGACATCACCCATTGGTTTGTGGAATAATGTTAAGTAGTATCGATTTGGCATGTTGGGTGTCGCTATCTTGGTTTTTTGGAGCCTGAGGTGACCATATTTATGAGTGCAGGGTGGATTTAACCAAAAACCGAAGGACACACTGTGGTAGCGACTTCTCAATCACAAAGTAGCCATGCCCTAAAGCATACAGTCCTTTATCATCTATTTCACTCTAAATGGGATCACAATATTCAAAATGAATATCATATTGTATTGAAGAAGACTTGAAAGTAGCGTTTAAAGCCATGAAGTCGTTAGGAAAATGCTTTCAGAGGTTAAATAAAGCGAGACGTAGGGTCATTTTGCATTGACTTCTTTCTGCCACCAAGTGGCAACCTCTGGGGCTGAAAAATATTGGATTGTCCACAGGTTCTACAATGGCCCCATGCCAATTGCCCACATGGTTGATTTTACCCAAGTGGGCTCCAGATAAGATCCCCATGTCAGGCCCATACCAACTTGGCACTCAGGTAGCCCTAGCATAACCCAGCATGACCCATTTGGGTAAACCCATCCATTTGGTCAGATGGCATGGGACCATTATTGAACCCGTGGACAGTCCCATAAAGGGCCCATTGTTCAGCCCATTTGCTACCTACAGGAGCATACCATGCAAATGTTGTCTGGAGTCCGGAAGCCATAGCCCTGCAGAAATTGCTAAGTTAGCGTTTCGCCAGCTGATAAGTGTTAGGTTAAAAAAAAAAAGGCAGTTGAGGTTAGGGTAAGGGCTACATCTTGCGACCAAAATGAATTCAGTCTTCATGTATGATAAATAAAGTAAACGAATACAGTGGATAATTGCTACGTTTGGCCTCATATTTCTTCACTACTATGTTGCATTTTCGCAGGGTTCAAATAGCTGTTATGATGGTGGGTTTGTCTTGTTCTGGTGTTGGGCACAGTTTGTAAGGGCTTCAAACAGAGTGCATTCTCGGAACCCATCAGCTGTATTTGGCATCTGACTTCCGGCAGACGGCGACACAGCCTCTGGGGGCAGACCCCCGATTTTTTGGCATTCCGGTTTGATTTGGGCGGAGGAGGCGAATTTCCATTTATGACTTCCGTTTATATATAAGTAAATATGCTGAACCATTGCGATGGATTCAGAGTTTGTGTCAATTGTGTCCCGCCTCGTTAATTCACCGCACGGACCGTTTAACCTGGCAACAACTGCAGCCGGCTCAAACATGATTGGTTAATATCACGCGGACTACAAACAGCCTACAACCGGAAACCAGGGCTCTTCCGCTCTTCTTCCGGAGGCAAGATTTCCGGGGTTTGCCTACAGACTCTACATTCACTGAATGTGGAGTCTGTATATAGAGACTAAACAGAGTGTGACTGCAGCTATGTATGTCTCAAAAATGAAGTCAAAGCAGTAGTGCTAAAAACTGTAGTTCCTTTAATGGCCACTTGAGGCTGGCTCCAAAAGTGATTCAATCCTCATAGACGCCCATGTTAAAATGCCCAACTTTACAGCAGATATAAACATGTTTACAGCCTGGTACAAAAAATGTTTTGGTCTCTAGATAATTACACTGTTTAGACCACTGCACAGGGGGTGAATTTTATATAACTCAGCTGTAAAAACTTTATTAAAGCTTAAAGGTAAGCATGATTAAGAGGGTCGTGATGAGTTGGTTCTCTGGTTCTCAGTCATCTCCTCCCCTTACTCCTCCACAGCGCCACCCTCTTGTCCAAATATGGTTACCTCTGGCTCCAAAAATTCAAGATGGTGATGGCAAAAAAATGCCTAACCCGAGGCTCCGGAAAGGCGTTCCACAAACCAGCAAGTGACCTTAAAGTGGCTACGTCCATTACATTTATCTGTGTTTGCCACAAGTGGAGTCACCCTCCTAACCATCAGAAGAAATGCAGGTTTAAAGCATCTCTGTATCAGTTCCACCTGAGATAACCCCTCGGTTGCAGCATGTGTCTGAGACAATAAAGCCAATTAGACAGTTTAGACTATAGACATTATCCGCGTTATGGATACAATCAGAGGATAATCAAGGCTGCAGTTCTAATCAACTATAAAATCTGACACAGTGATTTTCTGTGTGTGTGTTTGTAATGTAAGCTGCATTGCTACAACTTTTAAAATTCAGTTCAAAGTGCAAACAGAACTTTTGTCTAGCCTAGTCCAGACTTGTAATCTGTAGTTCAAATCGGTCCGGATGTTTTGCATTTAAATGATCTTACTTTCTTACTGCTGAACTTTTGAATAAATATTCTCTATCACACATCTGGGACATCCTCTCACCACCTATGCGTAGTAAAGGCACATACTCACCCTCTCAAGGCTTCCTCTATCTGATCCTGCTGAGGAACAGCCAGCTCTGTGTGACCACCTGTTCTGATACATACAAACAGCACACTGGCTTAAACAGGGTTGCTGTAATGGTTTCTGGGAATGTGAGCTGACACCCTGTAGGTCAACCTTTAGCTGGCAGTCTTGTGCATTTGACAGAGCCTACGGGACACTGTGGGCCTCTGACCTGCAAAGACTTCAGAGTCCTTTCACCACATTGATGACGAAATGTCAAGGAAGTATTCAAGCCTTTTTTTCTATAAACCAAACATTGCTGATGGTGACTATCAAACTATCGTGGTAATCATTAATTATTGTCAACTTTACATCTTTTGATCTTGCATTTCTTTCTTATATAATATAATATAATATGATTATTATTCATTCTCCCTAACTGCTTATCCTGGTTGGATGGGGCTGGAGCCTATCCCAGCTGACATTGGGTAAGAGGCAGGGTGCACCCTAGACAGGTCACCAGACTATCACAGGGCTGACTCACTGCACTGGCCTAAACAGCCAACCATCCACACTTACATTCACACCTATGGCATTGTTATTATTGACATTATTTCATCCTTTTTTGGTTTGTGTATAGATAGACATGCACGTGCAGATGTTAGTTAATTAATTCCTCAAATGTCTGGGTAGTGTTTTGTTGACCTGTTTAACTAGACAGACAAGCTATTTTTGGCATTATGTAAGAATTTGTGCTATTTAAACATCGCCTTTATAGAAGCCCTCTAATCTGGCTCAGTAGCTTCTCATCTCACTCTGTTGTATTTGTGTCTGATGAATACAAACATGGCCTCCGGTGAAAATAATGTCTGAGCTACAGTGATATAACCAGAGTGTAACTATTGGGTAACCACAGTGGTGAAGGAAGTATTCAGAGCTATTTCTTAAGCGAAAGCACTTATACCACACTGTGAATATACTCCACTACAGGTAAAACTCTTATTTAAGTAAAAGTACAGAAGAATTATCAGCAAAATGTACTTTTAAGTATTAAAAGAAAAGGAACTCATTCTGCAGAAAAAAATGTCCTTGCCAGTGTTTTATTACTATATATTATGTTTTTTTTTTATTTTATTTTTTTTTTAAGATTATTGTTTTGTGCATTTTTGCCTTTAATGGATAGGACAGCTTGGCGTGAGGGGGAGAGAGAGAGGGGGGACGACACCCAGCAAAGGGCTGTGGGCTGGAATCATGCCTGGGCTGCTGCAGCGAGGGCAGAGCCTTTGTACATGGGGCGTCTGCTCGATCCACTATAAGCCACTGACTCCCCATTATATATGATGTTTTTGATTTAATATTACTTCTGCAGTAATTAATGTGTATGTGTAGGTGTTAAAGGTTATGCTAATGGGTAGTTTAGTTTACAGCA